AGACACCAGGCAATTCTGTCGCCAGGCAAGTCATTTTATTCATTGTCCATATGCTTGGACAAGACATTCAGTCTCTTTGACGCATTGGGGTTGTTTTTAATGTTTTTGTTTCTCATTCAAAATGAAACTAACACTATTTACCTCATAAGATGGTGAGGAGGTCTTCTGGCCAAAATGGCAACTTCATCCAACTCACCACACCATTATTACCCTAGAGCAAAGAACCAAGATATGATGTCAACAGGCACAGTGCACAGTCTGGAACCCTGAACCTCAAATGAAAGCTTAAGGAACTAGAGTGAACACCAGCTGGAAGGAGAAACTGACTACAAGCAGTGAAGGTGCAGAGATGAAGTACAGGGGCCAGTCAGCCAGCCTGGCACAGCTTGGCTATCTTAAGACAAAAAGAGCCACAATCCCAGGGGAGAAACACAGAAGTCAGTGTCCCAGAGTGATGAGTAGGATGCAGAATGAATGTACAGACATGTTCAGAGTAAAGTAAAATCCTGAGTGCTATCTTTTGCCGAAGGGAAAACCACAAGCATCCTTACCTGGTAACAAAGAAAGCGTGCTGTGAATAGATCAGGAAAAACAAAATGTTACCTGTAAAGGGACGCTAATAAAAAGGCCAAGCCCTAAGGGAGCTCTGTTGGCCTAGTGGCAAGAAGCTGCTCTGCACTTCCCAAAGGTGCATGGCTCAAATCAACCATATGCTCCACTGCAGAAGTGAGGGGGCAATCTCCTACTGTGCCAGCTGGGTCCGATTCGACAGCACTCATTAAGTAAGTAAGTAAGTAAGTAATACATGCATACATACATACATACCGAGCTCTAATTTCTCAGCAGAAACCCTGTAGACAAGGGGATGATGGGATGGCAAAGTTAACCAAAAATTATATATCCAGTAAAACTGGCCCTCAAGTATGAAAGCAAACTTGGGACCTATGTAGAGAAACAGAAATTGACAGAAAGTATAAAACCCAGACCAGCCTAACAAGGAAGACAAAAGGGAGTCCTCTGGGTAGAGAGCCAACATCAGACACCGTTTGCTGAGATTAAGACATTCCTCACCAGGAAATGAGGCAGATACAGAATCAAATTAAAGTTACAACTAGAAATAGGGAACTGGAGACATCAATCTGTAAATTATAACAATGTCAAAACAAAAAGAGGGACTAAATGGTGTAGCTACAGAATTTTCATGTGGTAAGGCAATGACAGTAATATTAAGATTGAATAGACTACTTTAAAACCGTTTTAAGGCCCATTTCTCTCCCCAGGAAATTCTGGAGGGGAGGGTGGATATTATCACAAATTTCTCTACAACAGGGAGGTCTGGTGACTTGGTAGTGAGAAATTGTGCTACCAATCCAAGGGCATGTGGTTCTAATCCACCAGCTGCTGCATACGAGAAAAATGGGCACTCCTCCTCAGAGGCCATTTACTGCCTCTGAAAATCAACTGCAGGGTCAGTTCCAACTGACAGTACATAACAACAACTATACTGGGATGAGGGCCAGCAGCCTGGGCCCTCTCATCTCTCTCTCCTGGCATGAAACCATTGTCTCATGAGCAAAGGCAAGAGGGGTCAGGGCCCGGTATTCCCAGGTCATGAAACATACAGTAGAGCCCTCAGTGCACAAATGAAGTCTTGGCTAGATGAAGGGAAACTTCACTTCTTGATGCCACCTCTTGAGCATTCACTCTCTCAGAATTTAGCTTCTGGAAGCTGGAGCAGGAAGAGACTCACTGGGGTCCTGTTCCTTTCATGAGAAAAGCCCTCTATCTGAGTGTTAGACAGAGACAGAGCCCTCTATCCTGTGTCCCTGGCTGCAGCACTCTGAAATCTCCACACCACTGAACTCTGAAATGTGGGAAGAGGGAGAAATTTCATCTTGGTCACCAAATTTCCATAGTGTTTACAAACGGAGTTAATCTTAATTTGCTATACACCCTAGAGCACTGTCTCCAGAGGCTGTAAATGGCAGCATGTGTTTGTTTTAAACTTTTCACCACCTTTACTGGGTCCACAAAATGCCTAATGCTACTGGTCTATCAGTAGTCAGTCTCCTCTAATTGAGCATATAGGTTGTTGTTGTTGTTTGCTATTGAGTTAAACTGACTCATAGCTGACCCTTCAGTGAGTTTTCAGAGGCTTTACATAGCAGGAGGAGATCCATCTTTCTCCCTCCGAGCAGCTGGTGGATTTGAACTATATGCCTTAGAGTTGGCACTGCATCTTTTCACCACAAGCCCACCAGAAATCTCTTTGAGTGTATTTATGTGGGAAAGCAGAGAATATCAGAGGAATGTCTGTGTTTCGTTGCGTATGGAAAGGCATTTGATGGTGTGGATCACAACAAACTGTGGGTGACTCTGAGAAGAATGGGAATCCCAGAAAACTTGATTGTACTTATGTGAAATCTGTACTTGGACCAGAAAGTAATCATCAGAACAGAGCAAGGAAGCACTGCAGGTTCAAAACAAGGAAAAGTGTTCCCCAGGGATACATCCTATATTGATATTGTTTTCAATATATTCAGAACAGATCATTTGGGAGGCTGAGCTTTATGAGGAGGAATGTGGCATCAGTATTGGAGAAAGACTCATCAACAATCTGCTTTAGGTAGATGACACAACCCTGCTTGCTGAAACTGAGGAGGACCTGAGGGCATTTGCTGCAGAAGGTCAAGGACTGAAGCATTGAATATGGATTGAATCTCAACATCAGGAAAACAAAAATTCTCACTACTGGGCCAATAGAGGGCGAAGAGACTGAGATTGTTAACACCTTCACCTTGCTTGGCTCCATAATCAACACTCTTGGTACCAACAGCCAGGAAATCAAAAGTCAAATTGTATTAGAAAAATCTGCTGTCAGAGACCTCTCCAGAGTATTGAAGAGCAATGATGTCAGTCTACAGTCTAAGGTGCACCTGATCCAGGCCATAGTCTTCACAGTTACTTGCTATGCGTCAGAGAGCTGGACAATGACTAAGGATGATGGAAGAAGAGTCAATATCTTTGAGCTGTGGTGCTGGAGAAGAGTATTGAATATACCATGGATTGCTAAGAGAATAAACAGGTTTATCCTGGAGAAGGTGAAACCAGGATGCTCCTTGGAGGCAAAGATTTTGAAGCTCTGTCTGATATATTTTGGGCATGTTGCCAGGAGTGACTAGTCCTTGGAGAGGGACATCATGCTTGGAAGGCTGGAGAGACAGCGCAGGAGGGGAAGACCCTCGATGAGATGGATTGACTCAGTGACTGGGGTAATGGGGGTTGGTGTGTCAGAGATAATGAAATTGACTCAGAATAGAGCAGGATTTAGAGCTGTTGTACATAGGGACACAATGAGCTGGAGTTGACTCAATGTAACAGCATCTCTAGGCCTTGGAAAAATACTCTGCTGGGAGAAGTGGGGGAAAAAAGACTTTCAATGAGATGGATTAGCACAGTGACTACTGCAGAGTATATCAAAGATCATGAAAATGGTACAAGATAGGGCAAAATTTTGATCTGTCACTGAATTACAGTAGACTCAATAGGATCAAGTGTGTCAGAGATGGTGAGGTTGGCTCAAAATAGAGCAAAGTTCAGAGCCATTGTTCATAAGGTCGCTGTGAGTCATAGTCAACAATGGCAGTTAAAAACAACTTTTAGGTTCTCTCTTCTGTCCTATTGATCTTCACCAAAACTAGTCTTAATTTCTATAGATATTCAATTGATCTAAAATCAGGTAGCCTGATTTCTCCCAACTTACTCTTCAAAATTGTTCTAGCCATTCTAGTTTCTTTGCTTTTTCATATGAATTTTAGAATGATATTATTGGGGGGGGTGTGCAGACGTGCACACACACAGTCTCATCAGAATTTAGGAAAAAAATCAAACTCGCTCCTGTCAAATCAAAACCAACTCATAGCTTGCCCACTTGCAGGTCTTCGGAGGCTGTAAATGGCACAGCTTGGCCTCCATTTTCATTGAGAGGTTGGTAGATTCAAACTGCCAGCAGTGATGTCCTTCTCCAAGGTCTGCTCTCTCCTTGCAATATGCCCAAAGTATGTGAGACAGACCTTCAAAATCCTTGACTCAAAGAAACAGCCTGGTTTTGACCCTCTCCAGGAAAAACCTGTTTGTTCTCTTAGCAGTCCATGATAGATTCAATACCCTTTCCCAGAACCATAACTCAAAGGTATCAATTCTTCCATCATCCTTAGTCATTGTCCAGATGTCTCATGTCTAGCAAGTAATTGCAAAGACCATGGCTTGGATCAGGAACACCTTAGTCTCTAGCCTAACATCATTGCTCTTCAGTACTCTGGAGAGGTCCCTGACAGCAGCCTTTCCCTTTGATTTTTTTTTTTAATGTCCTGGCTGCTGGTACCAAGACTGTTAACAATCTCCATTTCTTCTCTATCAAGTTGTTACCAGTTGGCCCAGCAGTGGGAATCTTTGTTTCCTTGATATTGGGCTTCAATCCATATTGAAGGCTGCAGTGACTTATCCCTGGTGTACACCTTTCCTAATTTTGAACCATGCACTGTTTCCTTGCCCTGCTGGCTCCTTAGCTCTCCCGGATACAGTCTAGTAGCTGCCTGCTGGACTTTGAAGAAAGGGGCCAAGACTACCTACGTGGGCAAGGCACAGACCCAAGCAGCTCTCTTCTTCCTCACTCCTGGCCATCTACGCAAACACTGAGGAAGGGCCCGCCCATACAGGGTACACAGGGAGCTGGTGTTGCCAGGGTGACAGTCAACATGGGCAGGAACTCAAAACACAGCTGGCCTCAAAAGCTCTCCAAGGTTTGGAGTGCGAGGTCAATGGGCCCCGAGTGGGCAGTGAGGAGCATCCTTGCACCGCTCTCAGAACTAGGAAGGGCCTTGGGGCGGGTAATCGCACACCCATTCACAGAGGGCAGGTCTGTGATCGAGGTGTGCAGGAGCACATGCACACACACACACACACACACACACACACACACACACACACTCTCTGCAACCATGGTGAACCACCCCAGCCCTGGGTTCCAGAGAACCACATCTGCGGGATACCGATTGCCCCCTACAAATCTGCAGGCCTCAGTCTCCCCAGCAGCTCCTGCTGGGCCTGTGAGGCGCAGGGGTCCAGCTCACAGCAGCCGCCAAGAACCCCAGGTGCCCAAGACCAACAATGGGACCTTGGGAGCAGAGGGAGTTCGGGAAGATCAGCTGTGGAGGGAGCGTGTGGAAGCCGAGCAACGGAGTCTGCAGCGCTGGTGAGTCCCAGCCCCGCTGGCCGATGCACTCTGTCGCTGCCCTCCCCTCTCCCCTCTCCCCCACTAAGAGGAAGAAGTTCTTGAAATGCGCAGAGGCCTGATCTTGATCGTCCCCAGGCTAGAGTCTGGGGAGCTTCAACATGCAGGAGACCCAAGGATGAGAAAGAGAAAGTGAGGCAAAGGGTATTGCTGCAAAAAGAGTGATCTTCGCCAGGAACAGAGATGAAAGAAGACGTGGCAGAGAGGGAAGAACTTGGGAGACGGATGCAGCCTTGAGCTGAGCGGTGAGGGTAAGAGTGCAGAAGTGAGCAGAGCAGTCCTGCTAGCCAGGATGGAGGACTTGGAATGAAAGAGGAAGTCCAACAACCTCTCATTGCCATCATGTCAGAACTGACTCGGAGCTGACCCTCTAGTGGGTTTTCACAGGCAGTAAATCTCACAGGAGGAGATGGCTTATCTTTCTCCTGCGCAGCAGCTGATGAATTCGAACCCCGCGCCTTTGGGCTCACAGTGCAATTCCTTACTACTAGGACCAATGCTAAAACAGGAAGTCAGAGAGAGGTCTTTAACTGACAAGAAGGAATGAAAAGCATCCGGTTACCCATTCTCTCCCTTCCTCAACTATAGAATAACCCTTCCTGCTGACGCATATCAGATAGAAAGATGGTGAGAGATGACGTTCTTGTGATTTAAGACAAGGACTCTCTTTCAAGCATTCATTCAGTAAAAAAGCTATGTGCACAAAGCTTATTTGTAAAGTTCCAGTGGACATAAAGCCAGTCCTACCTGGCTTCAGAGTGCTTTGAATCACAGAAGGATGCTGAGAAAAGGCAAACACGTAAATATGTTTTGTTTTATAATGAGAGAAGGAAGGATAATGGGCACTTTTAAAAAATTTTTATTTTGTATTGGTTTGTTTATAAAGTTTGTATACAGCGTGTTTCTCACTATTCTTCATTCGCATTGTATTTCATACAATCATTTCCATGCATCATGTTTTATAAAATTAATCACCTTTGGACTATGCCCATTATTACCCTGTCCCCACCGGATCTTTCTCATTTTCTGTACACCCTCCCTTCATACACCAAATTGTACAATCAATGCTGTAATTTCAACTCTATCCATCCTCACTCCTCTGTTCTTACCCCTTCTCCCACTTGGTTCCACATATGTTTTACAAGTTATTCTTCTATTTTTACAGTAATGGCTTTATGCAGTATTTGTCCTTATGAGACTGAGTTAGTTCACTCAGCATAATGCTCTCCAGTCTCTCCCAAGTTATACAGTATTTTTCAGAATTGTTGCTCCTGACTGTTGCATAGTATTCCATTGTGTGAATGTACCACAATTTCTCAATCCATTCAAATATAGTTGGACATGTAAACTGTTTCCATGTTCTTAGGATGGTGAATTGTGCTGCTATGAACACTGAACATTGGTCAGGATAGAATGGTGTTTAAGACTCTTGTACATAGGGTCACTATGAGTTGCAAATGACTTGATGGCACATAAGAACAACAACAACATAATGAACACTGGTGTCCAAATCTCTGTTCATGTCTCAGTTCTAATTTCCTTGGAGTATATTACTGGTAGTGTGACACCTGAATCATACTGAGTTTCTGTGTTCAACTTTTTGAGGAAACACTAAATTGCCTTCCAGAGTGGTTGTACCATTTTACAATCCTAGAAGTGTATGAGAGTTCCTAACCCCCCCCCCCATCCTCTCCAACATTTACTCCTTGCTGAATGGGAACCTTTCTGATACAGATTTCACAAAATGGCTTCTCCAAGGAAATGACATATAAGTTGAGACCTGAAATACAGTAAAAGAGGTAAAAAAGAAATTAGACATATTGAAACAACAAACAAAACATATCCCAAAGAAATAAGAGCTGCAGCACAAAATGACATATTCACACCAGTATTTATTGCCATATTATTTACAATAGACAACCAAGTGTCCATCAACAGACCAATGGTAAAAGTAATTGGTAAATGGTACATTCACATGATGGAGTATTATGAATCATTTAAAAAACTTTCAAGAGTTTGTGAGATACTTTGCAATATGGATGAATCTAAAATTTTACTGAGTGGTGTAAGTCAATGACAAAAGGACAATTATGGTATAAGACCACTAATATAAAAGGCTAAGGCAATGTTTATACGCAGACAGAAACAACTTCGGAGGGTGAACAGAGATGAGAAAGGAGCAAAAATTAATAAGCAGACAAGTTGGGTGAATGGGAAGGCAATTTTAAAAATAAATAAGCAAAGAATGATCCAGTACCACTGAAAAACAAAAATCAGTTCAACATTAAATACAGAATGTTCATGTGGCCAAAGCAGTCAGTGATGGAAGAGGGCCACACTGCTTACACTCATAAAAATGTCATTTTTTTCCCTTCAAGTATAATTAGGCGCTGTATTATTGCTGAATAGTGTCCTTCCCAAATTTCACACCTATCTGAAACCTCAGAACGTGTGACCTTATTTGGAAATAGGGTCTTTGCAGATGTGATTAGTGAAAGATTTTCAGATAAAATCTTCATGGACTTAGATTGGGCTCTAAATACAGTGACTTGTGCCCTTTTAAGAAAAGGACACAGAGACACAGGGGAAGGACAATATGAAGACAAGGAAGATGCTGGAGTTACACTGTAGAAGTCAGGAATGACTAGGATCTATAAGAGGTTAGGAGGAGACAAAGAAGACTTTGTCCACTGGAGCTTTGGAGAATTACGGGCCCTCTGCCCCTTAATTTCCGATCTGTGAAAGAATACATTTCTGTCAAGTAATATTTTTTTTTCAGCCCTGGAAAACTAACACAGATGTCATCGGGGATTTTAAGCAGAGCCTGACATGATCTAGTTATATTAATACTTTGAAGTGACCATCTGGCCCTAGTGCTTAGAATGAACTGGAATGTGGGGGAGGTGGGGAGGATTAGCAAAGAGACTTTTTGAGAGGTTTGGACTCTGGTGATAAAAGTGAAGACAGAGATACATGGAAGAGTTAAGATTGATTTTGATGATAGGAATGAAGAGATTGCTGTAGAGGGAAAATGTGTATTGTGGATAGAATTCATATTTACCACCATGGGGTCTCATGCAGGTGATGGGGGAGGGAGTGCTGGCCAGGAGAGATGAGGAGCAGAAGGAGATGCTCATAGAGCAAGGCAGCAGAGTAACAGGACACAAGGGCCAAGACTCATGTTCCAAAAGGGGAGACCAACACCAAATCTATCAGTTACTTCTATAATGGGCAAGAGTCTCTCATCTGCTGTTTTGGGTAAAATGCTTGTCTGTCAGATATTATACTAAAGCTGGACATCCAAATTAAGATAGACTAGGGAGAAGGATTGACCATCCACTTCCAAAGTAACAGGTCTTCAAAGATTTTCTATACAATAGAGTACACTTAGATTAGAATAGCAAGTATGGCACCAGAGGCTGAGCCCTCACATAGGGAATCACAAAAGAGGCACAGTTATAGGCAGACTATGGAGGGTGGAATGTGAGAAGTGTGAATGTAAAAAAATTGGAGATTGTTAAGGATGAAATGGAACATATAAAGATTGACTTATTAGGCACTCGTGACATGAGATGGACTGGCATGAGACATTTTGAATCAGATAATCACGATCTGAAATGAAAAGATGAGAAAAAATAGAGCTGCATTCATAGTTAAAAAGGCCGTTTCTAGATCCATTTTGAAATCAATGTTGTGAGCGACAGGATAATATCCATAGGCATACACGGAAAATCTGTTAATACCACCATCACTCTGATATATGCACCAACAACTGGAGCCAAAGAGGAGGAAACAGATGATTTCTACTATCTTTTGCAGTCAGAAATTAATGAAACAATCAAACGAAATGCATCAATAATAATACAAAGTTGAATATGTAAGTCAAGAATTGGAACTTGGGAAATCCACAGAAAAGGAGATAGGTTAGTGCTTTTCAGTGACTATAGAAAAAGAGTGAGAAATGACAGGGATTTTTCTCTGACATGACAAAAAATATTATATAGTGGTGATGTTGGTGTTGGTGTTGTTGTTGTTGTTTTCATGTACAATCAAGTCAGAACCAACCTATAGCTGCTCCTCCGGTGGGTTTCCAGAGGCTGTACATGGCACAGGAGGAGAATGGGCATCTTACTTCTGCAAAGCAGCTGGTGGATTCAAACCTCATGCCTTTGGGTTGACTACACAACTCCTTACCATGATGCAACCTAAATGTTCCTTGAAAGCAAGGATGGTGAAGCTTTATCTCACATATTTTGGGCATGTTTCTAGGAGAAGATATTCCTTAGAAAGGGACATCATGCTTGGAGATGTCAGCAAAAGAAAGGCAGACTCTCAATGAGGTGAATTAAAGCGGTGACTGAAGCAAAGGCCCTAGCTGTGTTAAAGACAATGAGGAAGGCACAGGATAGGGCAGGATTTGGGTCTGTTGTTCTTAGAGTGACTGTGAGTCATACTTAACTCAATGGCACCTAATAACAACAACAAGCCACCACTGTAGTCATTGTTTTATAAGAATAATAATCAGCATAAATCCAAATCCCCACTTGCTCACTTCTGACACCAGCTGCCTATGTAGCTTTTTTTCCCTGGCCCCAAACCACCTAGAACTACATCAGATTTCACAAGTTAAAAAGTCATTGTATGCTACATTGCCAGATAGAAAGATGCCAGCAAGTCTGGGAATAATCCGCAGGCTTCCTAACTTCTGACTTCCGGGCTCCCGCAACTCCTTTGGATAATGTACCAGAATGATTCACAGAGCTCATGAAAAGAGCTATGCTGCTATTGTTAAGGTTTTATTATAAAGGATCCAAGTGAAAATCAGTATAAAGAAGAAAGGTATAACTGAGCCAGCCGAGTAACATCATCAACTCTTCTGTTTGAAAGTTCCCTGTTGGATGAAAATGAACTTTTATATCCAAGAAGGATAACTACTTGTGCTTTACTGATTATGCAAAGGC